TTTCTCTCTGTTATGGTAGAGCTTCTTCCTGATAGCATATCTTGTTGTGAATGCTCAAGCTAGCATAGCCACTGAAAAATGGTTTTCCTGTAACGGTAAGTTGTTTCTCAACCATTAGCACATTTAGCAGCAAGAACGTGATGTTGATTGACAGCACTAAGACCAACCTCCTGGCTCTGATTGGCTGTTTTTGACCGGGAGCTGTGCATTACTTTAGACTGCATTAGCAGGTGGAATAGATGTATTTTTTTTATCTGTCTCATATTATTCTGTCACAACATGGTTGCAGTTTTAACAAAAAAACATTTTTGTAAAAATTCCATACTGCAGCTTTAAGGATGAACTGAAATCTAAAAAGAGTTTCCAAACCAAAAACTAGACTTTAGAGCATAAAGAAAATGTCTCTTGTGCTGCCTGTCAGTTTTGCTGAGCATTTGCCGGTTTAATCTTGGCTGCAGCTGTTTTTATCAAAGGTTCCTGCTCTCTGTTGTTTGAGATGTCGCTCTGAGTTGGTTTTTAATAACAGGTAGAGAACAAAAAACCTCTGAGGTGAAGCCAGTTAATGTCAGACGCTGAACTGGGGATATGTTATTGTGTTGTAATTATGCTAGGTACTCTGTTAGAAAGAGTAAAGCGTAAACAGCCACGGGAGGGGGTCAGCGCTCATTTTCTTCCAAGCGGAGTAATTACCTTAGAAAGATGGATGCTAATAAGACAGATAAGCATCCTCTCTCCCCAGCATGCTTGTCATGCGCCTTCTGCCAATTAGTTCCTCGTTGCATTCATGCTGTGATAACAACCTGACCCGAGTGTCTGGACATGCCGCTTATTTCTCCCAAAATATTTAGTCCATCTCACCCGCCCCCCCGCCAACACGTCTCTGTCCCCGTTTCTCGGCTACCTGCGGCGCCAGCTCGCCGTTGGTGATGATTTTGGCGATCAGGCTCCACTTTCTGTTGCTGGTGGCGTTGTGGATCATCTTCTTCCTCAGCAGCTCGCCCACAGACATGTACTGGAAGCCGTAGCGCTCGGCGATTTTCAGGCTCTGTGTTCCTTTGCCGCTGCCAGGGCCACCTGAGTACAGAGGGAGAGAGAGAGAGAGCTGTTGATGTTTTTGGGGAGGTTTGTTGTCGTGTGTGTGTGGGTGAGTGTGTGTTGGTGAGAGAAATCAGGCCTGTGTGTGTAAGTGTGTGTTTGTGGAGGAGGAGGACATAAAGAAACAGGTACGTGTGAACCTCCTACATTTGGTAAGAAATCATATTTTCTCACCGAATATCTTTGGATTAATGGTGTCAACATTTTCTTATCAACCTAAAGCAGAATTGCAAACATAAAATGATTATATTCCAGCAAAACAAACAGTGATAGACCTTTATGAAGTTGATCATTTGAGTAAAACTGCCTGAAGGTTGATGAAGAAAAACGGAAACTTGAGTAAGATAATTTTACATGCCGAGGGAAACCTTGTGGAAACCTGAATGCTCTTTTTTCAGAGTTTTGCTTCATTTCCATGTTTCTGGAAATCTCTGCTAGAGTTTTTCCAGGTTGAGACTATAGTGTGTCATAAATAAAATAAAATTCAGATGATTAGGTTCCATGGATTGTGTTTGAACGGGCCGCACAAAATGAGTGCAGGGGCCGTAAATGGCCCCCAGGCCCTCCTTTGAACACCCTTGGTCTAAAGAGATTGTTCAGAGATGAATGATAAAAGATCTTCTCTCTGCAAAAGCAAATATTCAACAGGAACATGAATTGTGTTCAGATTAAATTTCTATTGTTTGTCTTTTTTCAGTGAGAGTTTTTAAAATAAAAGATGGATTTACTTTAAGTGTTTTTGCACATTTTTACTAATAAAAATGGCAGAAAATGTTGTTGATCTGATAATTTTGTGAATTTCACAAGAGTCTGGACTGTGAAGGTATTTATTTTTATTTTTCCTCTTAGGGATTCAGACAAGCATGTTTTGTTTATAGTTGGTAGGAAAATCAAAGTCTGTTTGAAAGCCACAAAAAGCAATAAATAACAGCGAGATAAATTAAAACTATTAATTTCCATTTGCATGATTGTTTGATTTCCTCGTGTCTCTTTCTACCGCATTGTGTCATGCGGTCACAATGCGGTCATTATGACCACATGACACAAAGCTTCAGGAAAATTATGTTTACCGGGACTTCAGTATCCATTTGATTTGTTTTGATTATTTATTTTGGATATGTAAGATGTCTTCCACTTAAAGTTTGTTGATCTTTGACATCGTGTTCTTGCATTATTACCATTTCACTACTTGCAAATGGTCTCAAAACAACAATATTATGATTTTTTGCAGTAACGTCTGGGGTAATTTGTCATTGTGACAGGTCCTTTGTATTTGCATTTTGTAATTCTTCTTCACATCCTAACATCCTCCTCACAGCTAACAGCTTTCTGCAAAACCTGACACACAAAACATTCACATGATCTTCTGCAGAGGTGGCAGCAGCTGCCATGCTGCTTTTCCCTTCAAAACCGGGGCACAGCATGCTCTTAAAGCGACGGACAGGGACTGGCTTTGTGCTGCGAGGACAAACACCCATCAGCCGCTCCACAGGGAGCCATTCAAAAAAAAGAGCTTCAAGAAGAGACCGAAGTTGTTTTCTTGCTTCTTCTTGATTTTTTATAAACCGACTTGAGGCTGCGTTTGAGCTAAGGTAGGTTGTTGTGGAAATGATTAACAAGATAAATGAGATTATTTGACAGCTTAAAGCAGGCACGCCAAGGAAATCAGATTAGGAGTGTCAAACACACTGAGGAACATGAAGCAAGATCAACTCTGATGATACAAACGTAGAGAGCTCGGATACCAGGAAATGGACTTAGATTCCTATCCAGACCACAAAGTTCTACTTCAGCATCTTTGCATTTCTAAATCCTTTAATATGAAAGCACTGAGCATCGTTTGCAAGGGAGAAAATCCTATCTCATTATCGGTGGGGGGACCATGAACAGGGGAATTTCTTAAGATCAACTTTGGGGGGCTTGGCAAAGTTATAGTGAAACATCATGTAAAAGGTGGATTAAAAAGTTTTTTGATGTGTTAAAGCTGCAGGACCAAAAATGACTATCAAGTGGTAATGCACATCAAACATGTGTTTTTGTCAGTAAACAAATTTTTGAGAATTGTAGAAGTCAAACTCATATTGAAATGTTTTGATATTTGGTTTGGTTCAGTGTCACTGATCTAATCTCTGCTACACCTTTACAAACACTTAAGGCTTTAAATAAAAACAAGTTTTAATGAGTAACTCCATTTAATAAAATTCCTCATAAATATAGATTTTTCCATGTCCTGGATGCCTAAGAACCTATAGAAATAACAAATATCTGGGAAGTACCATAACTTAAACTTAACACTTAAAGCACCAGGGCTTTTATTGAAAAATATCCTCATGTTTTTCTACTTATTTTTTGACACAAATGGAACCCCATATAAAGGCTCTACACTGATTGTAAGAAATAAAGGCATAATTTTCTGTTTTTCTATCTGCTCTTTCTCTCCTCTGCTCCCTCCCGTTTCAAACTCTTCTCATTAATATCAGTTAAAGGGCTAAATATGATTCAAATATTTCCTACCTTTGACAAAAAAGCTCAAGTCTATCAGAGCAATGTAACCAGTTATGCTTGTTTTGATTTCCAAGGCAGTTTATCATGATTCAGCCGAAGTAATGAAATAACGAACTGCAGTCTGATTTTTATTGTTAATGTGTTTCTTCCTGTTGAGCAGTGAGAGTAAATAAAATGTGTTACACGTCTTTTGCTTTAAGTTTTTCCTTACTGAAGAGTGTTTGTACTGCCTAGCCACAGCTAGCTCCACCTTCAGCTGCTGTTGCTCCTCCTACACGTTGGACTGAACCATTCCTTCAGAGATGGCGGGGGGGCCTAAAAAATATTCTTATTTGTTTTCTTTGATGAATGGCGGATTCATTTAGCTCTTTGTTTCTTTCGCCTTTTCATATTGATGTTGTTTAGATTCAAATGTTTCTTTTATGATTTCTTTGTGGGGACAATTCTAGACTTTTCCAAGATATTTTCCGACGTCTCCGGGTTTTCCGCCCATGACCGTTTGTGACGCAACACACACTCACACACCTTTTCTGCTTCTCATCTGACGGAAAACACGCTGTGAATGTTGGCGTTTTGGCAGCGCTCCCTTACCGATGACGAGGATGACTTTGGGTCGCGGCCTGGACGGGTCGAACACCTCGTACTCCTCGATGAGCTCGGCCGTCTCTGACAGGTCCGAGTCGCTCTCGATGGAGAACTGGCTGATGGGAGGGAGGCGGTCATACCGTCTGTAGGGGAAGTTGGGGCTTTCGGGCAAAACTGTGGCACAAAGACAGCAACGAGATTATATGAATTCAGATTTCTGAAACAAAGTTATGTTTATACATCGATAAACGACTATTCCTGAAACGTCTAAGTCGTTTTAGGAATTGATGAGTTGACTTTACAGTAAATTAGAGAGAACAACATATTAGCTACCTATGCTAACAGAACTGCGTTGCTAATATTCTGTGTAGCATATCTATGTTTTAACAGTTTACTTCATTTAACAGAGTCAACGGGCTAATTTATCAGAAGACTAGATTATGACTGATACAGGGAGCAGACAGAGACTTCACTGTCTCTGTCTGCTTGCACTAGCAAGTTTACTGCTTGCTAGTGCCATATATTTATAGTGAACATTATCTACAACCAGTATTCACACTAACAGTGAAAATTGTCTGAATGGCCAATCAAGTAAAACTTGCATAACTAAGCAAAACAAGATAATTCAGTTTCTGGTGTTTTAAGTATTGAATACATATCTGTCACAACATTAATGCTATTAATAAATTTACAAATTACTGATACAATCTGCTACCTTCTACTTTTATGTTCTACTCTACAAAACTATTACTACATTTTGAACTTTTGTACATTTTCCCACATTATAACCACAATCCTCAACACATTCTAATGAGATTTTTAGTGATAAACCAACACAGAGTATAAGTGAAATAATCTGCCAGTGGAACTAGTACTTTTTCATCAATATTATAAATTATTGACTTATAACAAACTTTCATATTTTGCTAAAAAGTTATTTGTAAGTTAGTATTCTAGAAATAAGACAAAACTATCATATTTGTTAAAATATCATAGTCCATTAGACCAAAAATTCTTGTGTTTTTGCAGTGGCATAAATCAGACGGGAGGCAGGGATGAAATTAAGACATCAGAGCAGATTTTCCTTTCCTCAGGCTTTTGAAACCTGGCAGATATGAGCTTCAGCCACAAGCTCCATTTATCAATAACGCTCATCTGCCAGCAGCTCTGCTCAGCAAAACACTGCCGCTTTCAGACTTTCTTTTTCTTGAAATCGAAAACCTGCCGGTCACTGCTTTTCTTATTTGTATGATCTTTTGTGGCATAACCAGAATAACTACAGGTATTTTTTTTTTACTTGCTCAGACACAGACAGGATGTTGCAGATCTTTGTTTTCAAAGCAGCAAAAATACCATACTTCGGAAAATAAGAAAGGAAGCGTTAAAGTTTAAATAAAAACATTAGCCTGCCGATTCTGACTCTGTGTAGCTGAATTAGATTTTGCCTTGCAAATTTCGACCAGGTTTTGCATAAACAGGGATTTTCCGCACTGCATCCACCTGCACAGGGTTATAACTGTAATTGATAACCGCTGAAAGGGCAGCAAAGATTACAAAGATTACTGATTAACTGCACAAGTTTGTCTCCAGTGAAGCGAGTTCATTCACGTTGGCAATTAAATGCACACTGTTTCTGAACAGGAAACGGCTTATCTGAAAAAATAAAAAACAAACAAAAAAAACCCCAAAAACACCAATTTTGCAGCGAGAGCTCAGGTGTCTCACTTTTGGCACTTTTCAGAGCGTGAGAGTGGGTGACGCACATGGATACACATCACATTAGAGCCAGCGGAAGAAACCTCTTATTCTCCGTCCTGTACTTCAAAGGAAAACACAAAAGCCTGAACAGAGGATCTGTGAATGAACTCCTCAAGATGCTCTGCAAATGTCAGCACCCTTCACCGTTAAAACACGGAGCAGAATGGGATGCTTTTAGCTTTCTTCAAAAGAAAAACATTTTATTTCTTACTTTTGCGTACATTTCATGACAATTTTTTGCTATTAAATTAGGTATTAGCTGTAAAACATTTTACTTCTTTTGTCAGAACTAGGAAGCATTCATGTCCCTTGTATTTCATCACAATTTTTCATATTACAATCATGAATTTAAATGTGATTAATTGTAATTTTATGAGAGACCTAACAGTAGCACATGACTGTTTAGTGATTAAATAATGATGCGTGACTGTCCTTGCTGCATCACATTGAGTTTTTCTTTTTTCTTTTTACAAAGCGTGGTATTCATCTTACTTTATGCTGATAAACCTAAATAAAACCCAGTTCAGCCTACAGTATGGATTTAAAGTTTTATCACAATATTATGTGGAATTACTGTCAATAAGAACTATTTACTACTGCTACTTCTTTTTACGTCTGCATGACAGCTTTTATAGCCCCACTAACACAAATACTGTTAAACATTCCCATCTGTGATGTTTTCTTTATGATGCAAGTCGCATAAAGAAATGTGATTTATATCACTAAACTGCACACTAACTGGGGTTACGATGGGTAGTTATTTGTTTTTGTTTGTTTTTATTGATCTGTACAGCATCAGCTGCTTTTAGCATGAAGGGTGCTTTATAAGTAAAACTGATTGATTGATTGATTTAATCATATTTTCAAGTTTGATATTTATTAAACGAACAGTGGAGAAGAATGTTAAAAACAATCCTGACCTGGACAGTTTTGAAGTTTTTAAACATTAATTGGGATTTACTGTGACAACAATGAGTGAAACTGTTACCATGATAAGAAATTTTTCATGATAAATGACACAACAAGTTCAACCTTTTTTTTCCCATTAGTTATCTAATTAGTAATCAGAGTATCAGTATAAATCATCAGGGCTGACTACAAGTCTAAGGTCACAAAAAGGGCAGCCAGCATCTCTGCAGACCCCACACATCCTGGACACAAACTGTTACAGATACAGAGCGTTTACAAAAAACAGTTTCTTCCTCCAGATAGCCTCTCTGATGAGCATCTTACAGTCAGATACTCTGCTGAGACATAAAAAGCATTTTTGCACTGTCACATCAAACCCTTTTTTTTTAATGTCTGCAAATATATTTACATAAGGTTCCCTTATTCTTATCTTATTTCTCCATAAGTTTGTATGTTTATACTTGATGTGTGTACGCTGTGAGCAATGGAAAAGCAAAGCCAAATTACAAATTTTCAAGTTAATTCTGATTCTTGTAACATTAGTAGAGAAACATCACGATGAAGACCGAGTTGTGGAGAAGTTTAAGGCAAGGTTAGGTGATAAAACAATATCCCACTGTCTCATAGAGTTCCAGTCTGTCGCACTGCAAAAACACAAGCATTTCTGGTCTAGTTTCTAGTCAAACATACAACAAGACTTTTCCCCATAATATAAGTGAAATAATCAGCCGGTGGAATTAATATTTGCTCTACAGCATTGAGCATTTATTCACTTAAAACAAGCTCATATCTCTTGCTGAAAAATTACTTGTAAATTAGTTTTGTTTTATTTCCAGTGTACTAAAATATTTGCACTAGAAACTAAACCAAAAATACTTGGTAAGGTTTTGTGTTTTTGCAGTGAATCTGACAATCACAAGGCCGTTCGCCTTAACCTGCAGGCATGGAGACGATTAAACTCCGATGGAGGGAATAAAAGATGTTTGAGGCCGAAAACAATTTAAGATTGAGAGAGGTTTGTCTTCCAGCAGCACAGCAACCCGAAACAGGCAGGCAGAGCTAACATCAAAGAGTATGCATGCGTTAAAATGACCTCGTCAAATATAATTAATAATCTGCAGCAAGACTTAAATGTTGAAGTTCACATGAGCTCTCCAGCTCTCCCTTCCGTCTGAGCTTCACCTGTTTTGCAAAGATAAATTGGGAAGCAAACAAGCAAAAATACAAACACTAAGAAATAACTAGACCTAATGAAACGAAACCGAATGAAACTAGAGTAACGATAAATAACTATATGAAACAAACATAACTAGAACACGATGACGAGCTGAACTAAAGGAAAACAGGAACAAGACTGACCGAACCAAAGAGGAACAAAACCCAAAGTGTCAGACAGAGGTGAAGAACTCGTTGAGACATAATCCAAAGAAGTTGCGACAGTAATTTCACCAAAGTTTTTACTCGTTATGGTAGAATATGAATGCATATACTTCATATACTTACACTGCAAAAAACAGAAAACCTTACCAAGAATCTGATCTAGTTTCTACTGCAAATATCTTAACACACTTGAAATGAGACAAAACTAGTTTTAAGTAAATTTAATACAATAATAAGACATTTTCACGAGTTACAGGTTAAATAATCTGCAATTTGTACTTTTTCTAATCAATATTAAGGAGTTACTGACTTAAAACAAGCTCCGATATGTTGCTCAAAAGTTACATGGAAGTTAGTTTTGTGTGAACTAAAATATTTGCACTAGAAAGTAAACCAAAAATACTTGGTAAGGTTTTGTGTTGGTAAGTATACTGGTAACTATATAATTACCAGTTTCTTGGTAACAAATTGCATTTCTTGGTAATTAGGTGCTATTTTGTGTTGATGTTTCACATAATCAATAAAATACAGTTTGTGACCAAATACGCTGTAACAAATGGCTGTAAAAACTACATCATGATAATACGGTAAGGTTTTGAACTGAAATGCATATTGAAAGTATTTGGGATGTGACTGCGTCATGTGCACAGCTGTGCTGTAAATTTTAAATGTACAGGTGCATTGTGGGATATTTATCGGCTGGAGGCGAACGTCCACGGGTTAGAGAACGGGGCCAACAAGGACTTTCACCAGGTAACTACTTTTTAAAACATTTTTATTGCAGTTTTGTGTTTGTTAGTGGATAGAAATATATTTTATGTGGTTACATTTTCAGCATTTGGCGACTTTTGTGGATAAACTCCCATTAAAAGGCCTTGAACTGCTCAGTCTAAGCCGCTGGTGAACAAATCTACACTGCAAAAACACAAAATCTTACTAAGTATTTTAGGTCTAATTTCTTGTCAGTTTGTAATTATTTGGTTTTAATGGATTATAACTTATTTGTTGGTTCTTTAGCAAACTGAATAGACATATGAATACCACAACATGTTTTTAACGAATTATTTTGTTCTTGGCTTTCTTTGTTTTTAAAAACCAGTTTGAAATAAATAAATATTTCTTCATGTTTCGGCACTCTTTTGTGTTGGTGTACCACATAATCAGTGAAACACTGATTATACAGTTTGTGATAAAACGTTTTCCTACTTTTATGGACAAGTAGTTCACATTAAAAGACCTTGACCTTTCTGCAGCCTCACCGTTTCTGAAGAGCGACCGGCGCGACTGGCCGCCGTTGAGCGGAGGAAGGGACTTCCTCTCCTGGCCCACAAAAGTGTCCCACCGCACCTTTTCGGTCCCGCCGAGCTCCCGGACTTTCTTCAGACAGCCTTCCAAGTAGTCGATGGGGTCATCGGGCCGGTAGTACATCAAACCTGTCAGCAGACTCTGTGGGGAGCGCAGAGGATGAGGTGTAAAGTTAGAGGAGAGAGGCGACAGCGCATCGTTGTTGTTCTGTGGGAGTAAAGTGGAGCTGAGCAACTAATGAGATCTAAAGTTCAAAACCTGCCTGCTGTCTGGGCTCCGGCTGGAGAACCAATCATCTCATTTTGTCCATGACCCTGTCTGGCAAAACAGGGCAGCACTGCAAAAACACACAATCTTACCAGGTGTTTTTGGTCTAGTTTTCCTTGCAAATATCTTATTACACCTGAAATAAGACAAAACTAAATTATAAGTAACTTTTCAGCAACATACAGGATCTTCAGAGTCAATAATTCCTTCACTTTGATGAAAAAGAACTGGTTCTGTTGGTAGATCATTTCACTCATAACCAGAATCTGGTACATTTACTCAATTAACTTCTTGAAAAAAACAAAAAAAAACCTTTTATGAGTATTTTTACTATGCTATACTTTTTACTTTTACTACAGTATTTTTATTATGAAGTATTTCTACTGTTATTTGAGTAAAATTTCTGGATTTTCTACCCACTCAATCAAGAAGAAACATGTTTTAACCAGAAATTCACCAGACACACACCTGCAGTTTTTGTTAAAGTTTTATAAGTTTTGTATTGAAAGAAACTAATTTGGAAACATTTTATTTTGCCTGATTTTGTTATTTTTTGCCTGAATTATTGTCACTTTCATCCTTAAAATACAAACATTTCCACTTAACTTTATATTTTGGTCCATCTAATGATGTAATTTTTAAATGTTAAATTATATTATTGATAATTTAATCAGTTACTCAGTAATAATACTTTTTTACTCTTAAGTAATTTCTTGGACGGCTACTTGTACTTTTACTTGAGTAAAATATGTAGAAGTATCACTACTCATACTCATAGTTTTTGGGTACTCTGCTTATAAAATTAGAAAAATGTCTTGTTATAAGTGAAATATTCTGCCAGTGAAACTAGTATTTTTAATCAATGTTAATGAATTATTTCCCTAAAAGAAGCTAGTATATTGTTCTAAAAAGTTACTTATAAGTTAGTTTCTGCCTCATTTCAAGTCTACTAAGATATTTCCACAAGAAACTGGACCAAAAATGCTTGTTAAGATTTTGTCCTTTTGGCAGTGAGGACCCCGATGACCTTTTCTTTCTATTGGTACTATTAAAAAAGGAAAAACCTCTCCCCTAACTGTTCCCAAACAACACTTTCCTCAGGGACTTCCTTCCTGATTTCCACCCTTCCTCCACCTCTAATACATCCTGAAAAGCCTCCAGAAGTTTCATCTACTTTCTGGTCAGACAGATGATGAAAACAGCATCTGAGCATCAGTTGCATGCACCAAAATAGTAGTTATGATGAATGCAAATAAGCAGCAGTGATTGCACTGATTGCTTGCATACATTAGCCACACAACACAGTGGAAATTGACTGTAATTAAGTGGAGGAGATAATTTACTGTCCTCCACGCAGAAGTAATCTTATATCAATATTGCTACAAACTCAGAACGTAATGATGTGAGACATGAGAGAAATGTGGGAAGACTGACACTTATATTGTTTAAATATGGGTGCGTTCTTGCAGAAACAGTCATTATTTTTACATTTATCTGCTAAACATCTGCAATAACTTAAAATGCATAATATGTATGTTTCACTACAGTTTTTAAACCGGCTTCTGAATCATTAAACCAGCACGATGCGCTTGTTTTTAAGCTTTCAGCTGTAATATTTTCTGCTTCACTGGTAAAAGATGACACATAAGACCTTCTCCAGCGCACATTGCAACGCTTCAGACATCATGTCAGCTCCATCTCTCACCTCAAACAGCTGAGGTATCTCCCTCCGTGCCAGATACTCCTTGGCATCGTTGGTATTCATCTCCAGCTGGATTTCCTCTTTATTTTTAAATGAAAAAACTTATCGGAGGCGGATTTTTCCCACCTGTTTCCCCTCTGATTTATCTTTGGTTAATGAGCGAGTTCGTGACAGATCTCCTTTCAGCGCATTTTTTCCGCTCCTGTCCTTGCGGACTTCTCAAGTGGATTCCTGCAGGTGATGCCACCGCGCCGCCCTCCTCCTCCTCCTCTTCCTCCGCACGCTCCTTGGTGCGGATGCGTGGCTCGGTTGGACTCTTTTTCTCGCCTCCCGCAGCGCTTCGCTTGCAGCGCGCAGCTCCGGTTTGGACGGTCTGTGCTCTGCTGACAGCAGCTTGCGGGTTCTGTATGCAAAAGAGCGCACGCCACGCCTCCTGGTGGCGTTTGCGGTTAGAACTGAAACTTCATGTTTACGCACAGCGCGTCCACACGAAAGAGGATGAGGGCCACTGAAAAAACCGTCTGCCCTTAAACTCAGAATTACGACTGTTTTCTCTGAGTCATGCAAATTGTTTCTGACTTTTTTACTAAAATCATAAATGTTTGAACATGCACCATAAAATTTTAAAACTCAAAAGAAAATTAGGACAAGCTTTTAGTGTGGATAAAGTGCAGATTTCTAAATGATGTAGCAGGGAAGACACGGTTATACGACAGCTTATTAATTTAAGGTGAGTGTAGATAAAAAAGGGAGCAAATTTCCTCCAAAAAAAAAAAGTTTTTGTTTAGAACATTTCTGAGATTAATCTAAATTTTTTTAAAAAATTTTCTAGCATATTTTTGACTTTTCAAAATAAGAAATTTCTAATTTTTCTCTATAATTTTCTGGTATCGTCTCAACATGTGAGTGTTTTGATTATCTGGTTTTTATTCATTTGCAAACTGTACTCTGGTTCCCACTTTTTAACTGTCTTCTTCTTCTCTGAGTGGCATTTAAGGCCAAGTTGATAGAAGACTCCTTTCAAAATGTGACTGGGCTAAATTCATATTTGCAAAGTAAATATTCGTAGACTATTAATAAAAAGTAACTGTGTAGTTTGGTATATTATTATGTTGATGCATTTTACTTACTTCTGTATAAATATTATTAGCTAAGTAAAATGTATTTGCATCTCACCAGTAATGTGAACTTTCCACAAATAATCAATCAATATGAATCTTGATTATTTTAAAATCTGGACCACCACTTTATTACGGCTCCAAAGTATTTCAGAGGTTTGTTTTATATATTTAGGCTTTGTTGGTTTGTCTCTCTTTCCAATCTCTTCCCTGCTTTTCTGATTAAAAATTATATAAAAGTTTAAGACAGTAGCTTGAGTTGCACTTCACAGATTTCATTATTATATAATGAGCTGTGAGTTGGGGAAGTGATGGATGCAGCAGGTCAAAGCAGCAGAAGCAGCAGCAGGGATTAGAGTGGCTTTCAGTGCTCTGAAATCACACACCCTGCTGTTTGACAGAGCTGATTCTGATGCTGCCTGCTGATCAAGCTGACTCTATGCTGGACTTGGATGAATAAATTTTGCATAGTTCCTCCTTTCAGAGCAAGCAGATATTTAAATACTTACTTTTAGCTTTTTGCCAACTCGCAGGAGAGGATATTTGAATCCAAAGATGTCCAAATCAATAACTAATAAGGAAGTAATAATTATCCCCATATACAACAACAAAACCAGTCAAAGACACAATAGCATGAAGCCGATCTTTGTCTTGCAATAGGATGTTCAGTTTGAATGTTGAACTAATCATAAAATCAGGTTTATCTCTCATTTTCTTAGAAATGGCATGTAAATAAAGCAGACGACATGAAAATCAGAAGATGGATAGAGCAGAAATAAATGAACATAATGGCAATGCAAGAGATGAACATCTTTAATCTTTTGCAGATGACATATTAACCCTTTAATATGTCATCTTGATCGACCTTGACTACTGTCTTTGAAAGTGTTCCTCTCATCGTTTAATTACATGTACTTCAGTTATCTTCTATACGTTCGCCAGAATAAACATCCACATTTTATGAATGATTATTTTGTTGTCTTGTAACTTAAGACACAAGGCGATTAAAAAAAAGAAGAAGTATCATTAATAATATTATGACTTTTGCTTTATTTATATCAGTAAAGTAAAAGTTATTTTGAGGCTCTAAATGCATTTGGACCCTTGGGCAATGCAGATCAAACAAAGCCATTCTTGTGTATTTTTTATTTAACCAGGAAAAACTTTTTGAATTTAAAGCCTCTTTTGAGTGACCCAGCCAAGACATCAAATATATATATATATATATATATATATATATATATATATAT